TCATTTCGTGCTCCGCCCGACTCGATTGTCCGTTAGAGTTTGGATTTGCAACATTGTATTTTACAAACAAAGACAATTAAGGTCTATATCAACCTATGATTACATTTGAGCACTTCTTCTTTATATCATAAGTTTCTTCTACATCTGTATTATAATTCAACACAGGATTTACTAATTTGAAATATACGATACAGCCTATGAAATAACTACACCTTAGAGAAACAGATTGGGCAAATTGGTTTACTTCATACCAAGCTATCAATAACATACACACCAAATTATCTCCCCCCTGTAACAGCAAACCTAGGTACTCATTGAAATTAATAATATTCATATAGGAAATATTTCTTACAATTTCTAGGGAAGAATTTAGTAGAATTACAGCAAGGTAAATGGAAATTTGCTTTCTCTGCAGGTTCACTGACGCGGGGGTATTTTAATTTTACGGGAGGCAGTACACAATAATGATATCTTACTCATCATCATTGGCACAACCATTACGGATAATTATTATTATTACCGTAACATAATTAAAGAAGTAACTAAATCCAAAAAGATTACACAAACAAATTTACTTAATTACGTAAAAAAAAGTAAATATCATAAAGCATTTCTTATGCTATGATATTTATGGTTATACCATCGCAGGTGAAGCCGAAGGTACTTGCTAAGTAATTAATAACCCTTACACTGACATTGATCAAACAAAAGCCATGAAATGATTAGGGATATGCCTCAGACCCCAAATGAACGAAGGGTAAAAATTTGTTGAGTATATAAAAAATGTCATATAAATATAAAATGCAAATCAAATAATTTGCATACTACTTTTTAATGTATTTAGTATCAGACACAAACAAGAGTTAGTGTAGTGATTGAGTTAATTCAAGACTTGTATTATTGAATTGGTATCTTACAATCATAAAGTCTTTAAAGTCTAGCATTAAGTCTTTCGATCTAAGATTTTAAATTCAGGGATTATGATTTAGTTACATACATCAACATGGCATCAACCGATATACGCCGTCTGCAATTATGGTGCCTTGTTAGAAGGCAATCTATACATACCACAGTAAGGCAAGCAGTATTTGACAAATACGGGAGTTAGAAACTGTATGAGGAAAATTAAGATTTCCTAAACAAATTGGGCTGTTATCTAGATACATATTTTACTTTATAAAAAGATAAGTTACTTCAGATAAATACAGTATAAACCACAAACTAAACTACCTATTTGTTCCATAATACTTAATTCTATGTTCTAATAGCAAAAAATAAAATGTTAGCCTACTGAGAGTATTCTCAGAAGATTAACTCTTCTATTAGGAGTATTTAATTCCATCTATGTTTGATAATATTGTTGTCATGATGGTTAAATTTAAAAAAGGAGATGTAAAAAAAATTATCATACCATATATTTAAGGCCAATACATACGCTAAGAGAATTGTAAAACTATACAAAGAGTGCTTCAAAGGGCATTTTGATACTCCATTGATAAAATACAAACAGTATTTTAGTAATTGCCTTTACGTGATATAAATTAGAACAAAACTAAAATTAATTAAAAACTCCGTTATACTTAATGGCTAATTTATGTGACAATATTTATCTAACATAGAGCGAATTAAAATGTTGTTTTTAAACATAGTCTGAATATACGTCTTAAATATGATGTTGAAATGGTTTTTGGACAAAAAATACACACACCAAATAAGTAGTTTGGTTACTTTTCTATACAGATCTAAACTCGAGTGTCTAAACTTTTCCCCTTACATTAGCAACGCGGCTGGTTACGGCGTTCATCGCCTTCAATCTGAGAGACGCAACAGTTCTAGCATTTTGGATCTTCCGATCTGACTAGTAGCGTTTTGGAAATTCCGACCCGACATACGATCGCAAGATCCAAAGTGAAAAGGACAGCCTATTTCATAAGTTTACTTTAAGAAATAAATTTGTACTTCTAGTTATGACTGTACTTTTGGATCTTACGATTTTGGAACTTCCGATCGGCAATATTTTCTTTGGATCTTTTGATTTTGGATCTTCCGACCCGCTAAATAACCTTTGGAAATTCCGATTTTGGAAGATCCGATCGGCAATATAAACGTTGGATCTTTCGATTTTGGAACTTCCGATCGGCAATATATTCTTTGGATCTTCCGATTTTGGAACTTTTGAAGACCATCCTTTCAAATTCAAAGAGTAAGCGTTCTTTATTTATTCCCCTTAACTTAAATTAACTCTGTGAACATTAGCTAAATAAATACGTACCGATTTTTTTAAGAGTTTAACTATTAATTACAGTTTAATATATTTACTAATATATTAAGTAATGATGGTCCTGACTAATGGAACAGCGCATCTTAGTCAGTAATAAAGCTACGAGGATCATCACACCTCACAACCCATATGTCTAAGCTCTTCCTTAACTCTATTAATTTTTGTTCAAATACGCATCTATACTACATACTACCATAGATAAAACATACTTCTACTACTACTAGTGCGAATGTGAGGCGTCCCTATCTCAATTGATGCTGTATTTTAATACTTGGAGTATGCTTACCTATGTAGAACAAGAAATAAATATTTATAAGTAATGAACATCTATTTATTTGTAATGTATTTTTAATGAGTTTTAATGGCGTATAAATAATATATAATATATATTATTTATACGCCATTAAAAATTCCCACACAACACAAGAATATCCTTGGAATGTCCTGGGGATATCCTCTGTACATCCCGCAATGTTCTCAGGATATCCTGGAGAACTTCCTGGGATATCCCTATGTCCGCCCAAATCCTGATCCCTGGGATATCCCACCAGGATATTATACATAAAAACACAAAATAATTAATATTTATTTTGACCTCGCAAGAGTGACAAGACGAGCCTGATGATGAGGTTATAACCTGGAAACCGGTAGCTCATTACTACAAATTAGGATCACAGACGGAAACAGGTAATCTTATACCATTTTAATAAATATTTAGTCTGAAAAGCACTTTTACCAGTTAAGTATTTTGATTAAATAGCTCATACAAACAAATTTTGGAAAAAAATAGAAATAAAAATATTTTTGCCCAGACAAGCTTTGAACCGAGTACCTTTGACTTATGAATCTCTTACCTTAAATCCTGAGCTATTTGTGATTGTTGATATTACTAGTTTTCAAGCGGTTAAAGAGGAGCCGACAGCTGAAATGGTCGCAATACTTAAATATTTTTGATACTATATGATTCTGTTTAGGCACCAAGTTGTTAAATTGTTTTTCTGGGAGTTGTAGAGGATACTGTAATAAGAATATAGATTATAATTGTTATGAATAATTAATATTTCCCTTAAATTTTCAACCAATAAATTTTCTTAAATAAGTTGGAATTTAAATTAAAAAGAAAATATTTGCATTATTATTATTATTGTAAGTAGGTCTATTTATTATTATTATCATTATTATTATAAAATGGTAAAAATTAGAGTTTGATAGTTACTATGTCCCACGGGGATATCCTACGGATCTCCAAAGGATGTCCTATGGACATGATCGGAAAACATGATTAATTAAAAAAAAAAAATCATTAGTAACGTTATTAGTTATTTTAATTTGAAATAGTATTGAAATCCTTTTTAATAACGTTTCTCAAGCACTTGTCACTTGAAAAAATACATCCAATACTATAAAATATGTTTTAATATAGGTAGCCTACCGAGAATATCCATAGGAAGTCCCCAGGATATCCTCAAAATGCATTCGTTTGTGTTGGATATGTGCAATATCTTAGAGTGATCCTAGGAACATTCTCAAATCCTGGGATCTGTATGTGGAATATGTGGGAACTGGTCAGGATCCTGTGCTGTGTGGGAAAGCTGTATTCGGTAGCATATTTCGAGAAGTACTTGAGTTAGTTATTGGATTTTACAAATAAATTATGAAAAAAGGATATCGTGGATATCCTAAGAATATGCCAAAGATATTCATGTTCCTCGATCAAAAACCCTCAAAAAATTAAATTAATTATTGTAACGGGAATATGTAAGGAATGTCCCAAGGATATTCCTATATCCCATGGGATATTGAAGTATCCCTGGAATGCCCCAGGGATATTCCTATATTTCATGGGATATTGGGACGTTTTGGGAACTCTGTGGGATATCCTGAGGATATTCGATCTGTGCTATGCGGGAACTGACCCTTTGCTTGCTGGGGGGTATTCCATTCCCCCAGACCCCCCGGTATCCCCTCTCTTGACAAGAGTCTATATACACAATTAACTGTCTTCAAGGCTGAATAGATATTTGTTGTTAAAACATTTTTTTAGAGCTTGTTTGATTTTGTGGTTATTATTTTGTTACTACCTGAGTACCGTTGCTTAATCTTTTATTCAAAAGAATTAAATGGTCAAAGGCCTGCGGTTTACAGTGAATTAATTGCTATGGGCCCAAGTGGCCCAAGGCGAGAGATGGTTGTGTCGCCCTCCCTCTTCTGTGCAGGGGTATCTTCCTCTTCCTTGCATCCCCAACATACCTAAAACTTCTTACCCCCATTTTAAAATGAGCCGTGTAAATTGCGTCAATTTTTTTTTTTCAACTTACACATATAAAATACATTTAACCTATATTGAAACGAAAACGAAGCATGAAGCATACGTTCATGACTTAAAGCATGTGGATAGGCAAAATCGAGCAACTATTAGAGCGGGATATTTACATTTCATTTAAATTTATAACATCTTTAGCTTGAATAAAAATGTATTTTTAGAATGTTTATTTCAGCATCATGTATACTAAAAGTCCCGTGTTATTAAGTATTACACTTTGTATTTGTAAAGTCTGTAAGTTATTAAGTTTGTTCGATATGCTCACCAATGTAAGTTAGTAAAACTAGAATATTCAATGCCTATGTACTGTCCCTTGATGGATGTTTTTCCCCTTGGTGATGGTGGCGCGAAGCGCGCAGGACTGGAGGAGGGAATCTAACCTATACATGAATCAACAGGTGATGAGCGGTTCATTCAAATTCATGTTTTGGGGTGCTTTGGCGGGTCAAAAATGCAAGATTCTACCTTTTTGTTTGCCGGCGGCAGCTTTGTCTCTTTTCGTTTTTCCACTGTCGCGCTCGTACTCCACAAAAATGCCTGTCGAAACTTCCAGGTTTTTGCGTTTTGTCAAGCTCTCTCCTAAAGCTTTTTCACCAACCAAAGGTTCAGATAAAGCTGCAGGATTTGATATCAAAAGGTAAATGATTAGTTATTAATATTTTTAGTAAGGGATGATGTAGTTTCGGCTAACCACAGAGCCTTACCCAAACGATAGCTCAAGAACCAACTGTTGATTCTCAAACGCGACTACTAGGCTAGGCTAAGTTAATTTAGTTTGAGAATTATTTTCTTTGAATAAGTATAGCCTACTTAGCCTATGGCAAGCTAAAATGGTAGGTCTAAATAGCCCATTGTTCAACTTAATAACATTTTCTCAACCATGTGTAAGTTCAATCCAACTAGTTTCTGAAATTTTTTTCTATGATGTGTTTGGCCTGGTCATTCAAAAGATAAAGGCTAAGTTTAGTACCACAATGTCAAACCATTTGAATAACCTAAAACCGTGTTTACTAGACTATGTCTTTGGGCCCCGGGACGATTGAATACCCTAGGTATTATAACTGTAGTCTTAGACCTAGGTTGATAGGCCTATATATGTAATCAGTGGTGTAGGCCTTGTAATAAATTATCCAGTGTGAGAACTATTGTTGTAAGAAAAGTAGGCCAAAGGGTCGCCTATCAATATAAGTTTGCCATAGGTTCTAAAAAAACCCAATTTGGGATCACTGTTCGCGCTTCACTACACAAATGAGTGTAATGAAAATTTGCCCGCACATCAATAATGCTAGTCACTAAGTCTTAGGGATGAGCATCGATGGGTCAACCATCGATGTACCGATAACTTAACATCGTTGCGAAAACATCCATGTTTTTGTGTAGGCTACACCGTCTCATTTGGTAGGCGTTGTTTTCCTAGTTTTCTATGAGGGTTTTTTCACATTTTTTAACCTCTTCTGTTAAACAATTTTTATTTTGTTATTATTTAATTTAGCCTAGATCTGTTGTAAAAAATCTTATCGTTAATTTATACAGTAACTTTGAAGCCTTCAGTCGGCTTTGTTTGTGTTTTGGTTCCGGTCAAAACAAACAATATTAGTCTGAAAATAAAACTTCTGTCACACTACTGTAAGCTTTGAGAACCTCTTGTATATTTATAGTCTGAAATATGTACAAACACTAGATTATATCAGCCTCAAAGTTGGGAGTCTTAATTGATTTCCACAGTAAATATTTTGCCCAGATATTAAAATTGTATTAATTAGGCTAGGGTTTGTTTTATGGTAAAACTATAACCTGTCAAAAAATGTATGACGTAAAACGTCAACTCACCTGTTGTCCTGTTGACATAACACCAGGAACTCTTATTGACCGCGTTCTGGGAACAACCGGTGCACCGGTACAGGACTTGTGCAGACAATGCCATGCGTCTTTATGGGATACCAATGAATTTACCTAGCAGACAGCTATTTCCTCTTTTTTCCTCCACCGGTGCTAGATTCATGCACCGGAGACATTGTGATTGTACGGTGCATAATACACCAGTGGCTACTCATTGGTCAGTTTCTTGGACTCCAGTCTGCAGCAATGACAAGAAGGCGGGTTCCATCCAATAAATGATCAATTATTTATGAGCTTGATAGATTATATTACGTAATAAGTGGATAATATATCAGTAATTAATTCTGTTAGGTCAAGTTGGTTTAATTTTAATACTATAAAGTAAATACTGTGGTAGGATAATGTGTAAATTACAATCCCATGTGCACCGTAAACCGGTGACTAACCGTTCTGGGATCCCAAGGCGGCACCGGCGAGTAAGTCACCGGATCATCTGTAACAATACATGTTCCCAGAACGCGCCCGCCGCCCATTGTCTACAGCCACAAAGGTGTGGCAAAGAATTTTAGTATTTAAGTTTTTATAACTTTAACAAAATCTATTATTTTCTGTTTCAGTGCCTACAGCTATGTTATACCTCCTCGGTCAAAAGAGATGGTAAAGACAGACTTACAAATAGAGTTACCAGAAGGTTGCTACGGACGCATCGCTCCTCGTTCTGGCTTGACTTGGAAGAACGGGATTGATGTTGGAGGTAAAAGGATCAATTCCTAATTTTAACTTATTTTGATTATCATACGTACAGTTATAGAAGCTTTTTACTAGCTTTGTAGATTAATGGAAACAACTGTTCAACTTACTTTTCTCATTCAGTTTGAGTACATTTCTTGGCAAATCTATTGGGTCTCATTCCTCCTGGATTACGTTGAATACATAAATTAGTATTTAGGCCTACACCAATTTATCTATTGGGTCTGAAGCCTAGATATATTTAGTATTTTCGTATAGTTAGGCTATTGTAAATGTTTCCTAAGAAATACAGACGTTTCTAAAATTTGTTTTTATGAACACTCATTCAATATAGCTGCTGAGTTACATCTGCCAATGAATGCATATTTATATTGTTAAAGGATGTTTGATGTTTTGTTAACTGGTTTCTAATAAGAATTCATTTCAGCGGGAGTTGTGGACGAAGACTACAGAGGTGACATCAGAGTGATTCTGTTCAACCACTCTGATGAGCCGTTCACGATTCAACCTGGTGACAGAATCGCTCAACTGATATGTGAGAGGATCTACTACCCTGAACTGCAGGAAGTTGAGGTAAGCAGGAGTCGTTGAGTTGAATAGTCAATTTTGGCAATATTTTTGGTTAAGTTTAAATTTACTCAGCCAAGAATCAGGATACAGTCAAATTTGTATCTTATTTTCTTTCTTTGAGGGTTATAAATTTAACTTGAAATTCTTTTAACAGTCCTTGGAGGCTAGCGGCCATCTTGGATGGTTTCAAACAGGTACCTACTGAAGACATTTATCGCCCAAAAATATCTTTCAAACATCAAAGTAATTTAAGTATGTAGTAAACCGTGAGATTAATGTTCTTTGTAGTTTTAAATTGTTCTCCACGGGAGTCCATGGAAGCTAACGGCCATCTTGGATTTGCCCGCCATAAGAGCGATAATAATTTTGTTAATTTCAAACATCCGCGGAAGAGCTATTTACCATCTCAGAATATTTTTTTCAAACACTAGAGTAATTGTAATTTAAATATCTAGGCTAGTAAACTGCGAGATTAGAAATTTTCACTGTAGTTTTTAAAAAAAAATTTACAAGTTAGAACGTATAGGCTCCAAGGACTCTTAAAGGTGGTAGCTTCAACTGAGAAAAGATCATTCAAAGGGATTGGAGAGACAGCTCCTCTCCCCTGTTCAGTTTTAAGAGGTTCTCGTTTTAAGATTAAGTTGGTTTCATATAATCAGCTTCCGCTTTGAAATATTCTTGCGACTTGGCCCACGATCTCAACTAAAGTTTTGTCACTTTTATGACACCCTGCAAAATCAGTTCTTAGCTACAGTTATACCTTGAGCCATTTTAATATTACGTAGCAAGTTAAGAGTGGAAATTTCAAATTATTCTGGAAAGTTTTTGCAAAATCGATGCAATAAAATTTAAGTCACAAGAGAATAGCAACAATGAGGAATGTGATTGCATTGCAAAAACTTAAAAACTCACTCTTAAAATACATTGAACTCAATGTTTAGTTAAATGAAAACACAAATTGGTTAGTAAATTAAGTTGAGACGGAAAGTAAATGGAAGGAAAGAGGCAATTGGGGTGTATTTCAATTGTGACATTAGGTACTGATTAAAATTTATCTTTATTAATTATAAGACTTTATATGAGTCTTATTTAATTTATCTTTATTAATTATAAGACTTTATATGAGTCTTATTTATATGTGGATCTCTTTGTTTTAGGAATTGAATCAAACTAACAGGGGTTCTGGCGGATTCGGTTCTACTGGGAAGAATTGAAGTCGTTGAAAATTGTGTTCCTCTTTCTTGGTGATAATTAGATTAACTGATTAGTCATGTGTATATAACAAACTTTCTGGTCGTTTTCCTTGTTGTGCAAGTTAATAAGTTGGTAGATTTGTCCTTCATAATTTAATTTAAGTGGTGTTTTTTATATAGTACAATGGCCCAACTGACCATCCTCTTTGCTTATTGTAAGGATTAGTGATGTTTAAATCCCTTGAATGAATATTCCTTCTCTTAAAGGAAGATATAAAAAAGTAATTAATTTCCAAGTTAAAATTGTTGCTACGGAGGTCTATGCCTTTTTTAAATTTATGTTTGTAACATTTGTGCCCAAATATGATACTCCTGATTTTGCTTTTATTCAAGCTTTTCGACTGATATGTTTTTCTTTAGTATTATACTTTAATAAAGCGTGTTTTGTAAAGAATTGGTAATGAATGTCCTATTTCAAACCTATTCCTTGTAAATGAAACTTGCAATTTATATAAAAAGTATCTTCATTTTTCAAAGATTTTATACTGTGATAATAGGTACTTTGTTCAAATTTTTATTAAACTTTTGTTTAATCATATGTTTTTCTTTAGTATTATACTTTAATAAAGCGTGTTTTGTAAAGAATTGGTAATGAATGTCCTATTTCAAACCTATTCCTTGTAAATGTAACTTGCAATTTATATAAAAAGTATCTTCATTTTTCAAAGATTTTATACTGTGATAATAGGTACTTTGTTCAAATTTTTATTAAACTTTTGTTTAATCAGGTAAAAGAAAACAATTAATCTATAACACTTTTATTTTACAATATCAATTCAAATGTTAGTTACATATTTCATTGTGTGAAGATTACAACAGTGGTACGATTTTTATCCAAAACTAACAGTACAGTACGTACACATTAGAAAGTGTGCCTCCTATTTTTGGTTTTATAGACATGTTATTTGACATTGGAATTCAGACAAAACCTTCCATGACATGATTGTACTACACCAAAAGCATTAACAATCTCTGGGGACGTCTATTCCATGCTCTAGCAACAAGGACCATGTTTCTGTGAAAGATATCTTATTAGATTTTTACACACTGGCACAGGTTACTTGGAGATATTAAAGTTATAATGGTACCAAACGATGAATGTATACAAACAATTATTGTCAATGGTTACGGGGGAAAAAAATACAAGGTTTGTCTCATCTGTAAATTAGATCTTTAAATAGCTCCAGTTATGGCTAAAAAAGGCAGTTCAAATCTGTTACAAACACTAGCTGTAACAACAGACACCTAATCAAATCACAGAAACAAGATTCATACTTGACGGTAACGTCCATCTTCTCTTTTTTATCTTTTATAAGAAGATTAAACATAATCGTCACATATGGGTGTGAGGGGTGGTGAGCTACTGGTTTAGTAGTAGAGTAATAGGAGTGAAGTAAAAGACCTCTATGGCGATATTAGATTTTATTTTAACTACAGTAGACTCCCTCTTATACGGACTCCTCGGGACCGAGGCCAGTCCGGATAATGTTTTCTCCGGTTAAACCGATGTCCCCAAAATCTCATTAAAACGGACCGTTTAAATGCATACTCTATACAGTATTTTACTTAAAATTAGGAGAGCATTGTATTTAGACACGTAGTCACTGGTCTCAAAACTTTCCCACGAGAACAGTCGTTTCAGTACCCCCAACTTCCTGCCGATCTAGTCCGGTTAAACCGATGTACTGATAAAAATTATCCGGATAAAGAGATGTCACTTCTACCGAGTGTAGTCCGGTTAAAAGGTGTCCAGATAAGAGGGAGTCTACTGTAGCTTACTCTGCCCTAACTGGAGGTCAGTATTTGATTATGGCAAATTTTAAATTTAAAGAATTGATTGTGAGCGTGTCTTTTTTATTTTTAACTATCTAAACAGTTTTCTGAAGAACTGATGTTGTTTTATTCATGCTGTTCTAACTTACTTTAAATTCTATTCAAAAGTGAACCATCTCATGACAGGTGTTGTGAGAGCGTAGGACTTTCTCATACTTGGGAATAACGAATAGAAATTCTATCGAATATCACTATTCATTAGTTTTTTTGGCTAACTTCTATTTTATTCGTTTGTTTTTAAATTAACTAACTAATAACTTCTATCAGTTACCATTTACGGGACTAACTAATAACTTCTAACTAGTTAGAATTTTCAACTAACTTTCCCAATTATGCGGAAGCATCTCAAATACTGGTTATTTATTTCACGTGATCAGTGAGGGTTGCGTGCGGCCGTGAGAGGTCAGTGCCCTTGTATACAAACAACGCGGGGGGTGGGGAAAGAGAAAGTCAAAGTCCAGTTGCTTTGGAATGCAGTGGGCCTGTGGAAGGGTAGTGACGGCCATTATCAACACCCCAAGCACTGATGGGTGGGAAGGGGAAATGTTTGTTTGGTGATTGATATATCATCTCAAGTGTCAAAACATTGTCTTTAGTTGATGTTCATTATCTGACAAGTTTTATGTCATTTGTTTATGTTGTAGTAATGTAAAATGTGACAATGTTTGATTAAAACACAAGTACCAGGGGACCGATCTTGCTCGAGGTGTTTGATTTGTTCAAGAGGTAAAAAATAGAGCTTATAAGCCTATAAATATTTTCAGTCTTACTACGATTAATTAAGTAGTAAAGTCAATTCGTTTTTGTTAGACATCCACTTATCCTCAATTTAGTCTACAAAACTTTTTAATTTGGACGATCAATCTATGAAATGTCCACAACAAGCTTCAATCAATATAAAACCCATGATACATAACATCTGTTATCTGACGACCGTTATTGCATTAAGTCACTGGGATCGTGGAACGTTGCAACTATAATTACGGGATGGTGTAATAACGCATCAATTCGTGCGGTGCATCGTCGAAAAATACAAATCTCCTTGGCCTTTCCTTTAGATTTTTAGTTCAATGTCAGTGTATATTGTTTTGCAGTAAAACACTGAATGTTTTTGAACAGTCGTAATTATCCCTTTGGTTAGTAAGACATCCTACAATGCAAATGTATTATACAAGCAATTTTCAATAGCATTGAAATTGGAGGAAATCGTAGGAGCCATTTTTAAAATCATATCTTGCGCAATCTTTACCCATATTATAGTATATATTAGTAACCAAAATGTGACATAAAAAAATACTTTAAAACAACTGCCCAACGAACAACTAATTTCTACTAAAACTAACTTTATTTTCTATCAGTTAGTTTTTCAACTAACTAATAACTTCTATCAGTTACTTTTTAAGCTGACTAACTTATAACTTCTATCAGTTACTTTTTACGGGACTAGCTTATAACTTCTAACTAGTTAGAATTTTTGACTAACTTTCCCAACTATGGACTTTCTCAGGTGTTCGAATCCCACCATACACCAATAGCAATTTCCCATGCGATAATGCTGAACTGTAACCGTGTCGTACATAATTAGGTAAAAATAGAAGAGGAGAAAAACTCAGTACTCTATTTGAAGTTCTTCCTTTACAAAGGTGATGGCAATAACGGTAAATGAATTCACAACACTTAGAATGTTCTAAAGCAAAAATTATCCAAAAGGCTTAATTTACTACACAATTACAGTACACTGGCAGTTTCCGTTTGCTACTAACTGTGAGGTTGCTTATCAGTAGATAGCGATCAGTCATCAGATGTTTAGCAGATGATAAGTGATCAGATGAGCAAGCATCAGTCTCCAAAATGGACCGCAAAGATCTCAATGTAATTTTCCTCAGTGTTTACCTTATGATATTGTTCTCTGCAGAGTTCGCAGTTTTAAATATGCAGGTTAGTTTCCATGTGATTTTTAGTAATTTAATAGTGGTTATTTTATGTTCTGAATGAGGTAAAAATTACTTTTATACTAAAATATATCTGGTACCCATTATCTTCAGATATTACATTACAAATGGGTTACTTGTATTAAAAGATTATCTATGAAAGATCATTTCTAAGAAATTGGGTAGATACAGTATGTAACATAGAGCAAAGGGCCTAGATCGTAAAGATTTACATTCGGATAGTTTGGCTGGATGGGAAAGGAGTCCAAATTGTTACCAGAAACACAAAAGATTTCACGATAAAAATTTGAAACAAATGTTAGAATATTTCACTGCCACTGACAGCATTTCAAGCATATCTTGCCAACTCAAACCAGGGAGTATAATATGATCGTTAAATGTAAAATGTAAAAGCTGACCCTCTTAACAAGTAGGCTAATATTATCTCGTGAAAGAATATACATTATTTTAATTCAGTACTATTTGTTGGAATTGGAATTATTCATTAAATACTGTGAACATGTTTATCTTTTAAGAATGTAGTAGGTACTGCAATATTTTAGCTAATTCTTTTGGGGGGATCCCAGATCTTTCTCACCCATTCAATTTTATTCAGGACTTCAGACCACATTTGAATCAAAAATATTTTCTTAGGATGTGTGAAATGAAGGTTTTATTTATTAGATTGTATACTTTGTAAAAATACGTTTTTTTAGCTAAATGAATAAATTTGCATTTTATGAACCCCAAGTCATTGTTTATAATGCATCTCAAATTAATTAGTTCGTAAACGGAAAATGATTTGGGTAGACAGAGTCATATTATTGCAGGTTTAATGTACAAATTTGTAGCACATATTACATCTAGAATTTGCCACGTCATACTACTAGTTTTTACAAAATTTGCACGGATAATCAAATCATTTCTAAATATAGGATTTGAAATGAAAAACAAACATTTTAAATGCAATCAGAGTTTTTTCTTCTGTTTTAACACCTCTCAGTGAACCATGAACCATGAAGCTTACTCAAGACGACTATTTAGAGTTATACACTAATTTTAGCAGTCTAATCAAGTCAATCAATGGAATTACATGAGACAGAAATAAACAGTATCTCTACTATTATTAGTAATGCACGTCAGTGTTTGATGTTTTTGTGAGATTACAGTTTTGGCACACATATTTGACTAAGGTTGATGTGTTATATTTTAGTTTATTCGAAAGCAACCTCACCTTCAGACGAAGCTACGAATTTAATTATTGACACAAATATTAATACTCATGTTTTTTTTTAGTTACCATAGTAAAAAATAACTTGTACTCACACTCATCATCTCTTTTACTCTTCACTGCTTTAAAATGTTTAAGATAGTGCCTACAAAATCCTGTAAAACGTAAATTGATTTTTTGTAAAAAAATGTGTTTGGGTAGGCGAAATCTACATTAAAATCCTAAATTTTACAAAGAATCGTTTTTGTAATTTCCTAAGCTGGAATCCTGTTGAACCACAACTAGCGCAGTAGTCATCTAATGTATAATATCTAATGTAAAAACGCCATTCTCATTGATGTATAATATCTTCTAATAATGCCAAGGTTTCCAAAATACCAATCAGGTCTTGGAATAATTTTTGAAT